CATAACAAGATGACCTCAATGTCTTGCATGTTTTGCTATGTCCTTCAGATTGCCTGCTTTTCTCACCAGTAGCCTTTTGAAGATAAAGCCTATATAATCAATGTGCTGAGCTAGCTCTGGGTCAGTCAGTCTCCATCAGAGGTTGGCTATCCACCTGGCCCCAGCTCCTCTGTCTTTCCTTCATCCACTATTGTCTCTTGCTGGTTTCTGAATTAATGGCTGTGATGGCTGTAGAAGGTCCACACCTTTAATCCCAGCCACTAGAGGCTGAAGCAGAAGGATCACCAGTTTGAGGCCAGCCTATGAAAGTTAGCCAGACCCTGTCTTAAAATAAAATTTAAAAAGGGCCAGGGATGTATCTCAGTGGTAGAGCACTTGCCTACCCTGTACAAGATCCTGAGTTCCATCTCTAGTATCACACAAGGGGCAAAAAAAAGGCTGCTTTGAGGACTGAGGTAGTCACAATTTTGGAACAGAATGCCCAGCATACTGTAAGCTCTCAGCAAATCGCAGCTATTATAAGATAAATAAAGCCCCACCCACTAAAAACAAAATACAAAAAACAATATCCCTGTGTTTCTATTATGAGTAGTAATGATTCAGACCACAAGCTTTCAGAAGCAGGAGGGCACATCTGCCCATTCCTGTTTGGCTGCATAGCGCCTCACATTCTACTTAATAAGCACTGGTCACATCTGTAATTTCAGAACTGGAAGGAACTTAAAGGCCATCTATTGCAAGCTTCTCATTTTATAGATAAGGAAACTGATGCTGGGAGGGGTTGGATACATTACTTCCAGGTCACAGTGCTAGCATCTCTCCTCCTCCACCTGGTAAAGCACACAAAATGGTGATCAGGAAATAGAAAAACAGAACAGGAAGACAACCAGATTCCAGAGAGATTCTGACAAATAAGGCCTGGAGCAGCAGGTCCACAGTAACCAATGCTCCTGTGGACTGGGCACCACGTATAAGGGCATTGCCCAGGTACCATCTACATGGAGTCTAGAAGTGGGTGACCTAACTGGAGGCTGCCACGTCTGAACTGTCTTTGCCTCTGGAAGTGGTGGAGGCCATGCTGGAGCTTCACTGCTGAGGACAGGCTAACTTTGAGAGGGCAGTGCAGTTTGAAGGCGGGGTGGACACAGAAGAAATGTGTTATCTTCAACACTGCCCACCAATCTCTGGAAGTGGGGCATGATCTCATTCCACCAGCAGACAGCACCAGTGTGCCCCACCCACCACACAGGACAGAAGAGCAGAAGGCATTCAGATCAGGACCTTTTGCCACTAGCTATGCTTTCACTCATTTTCCAGTTGGCCTGTCTCAATCAGAGATTTCAGGTTTCTGAAGAAAATTGATTTTTTAAAACACTGAAAGGGACCGATATTTTCCTAACATATTTTATCAGTTACCTATATTTTTATATCAGCTATGACTAGAATAAAGTCAGGAAATTAGTTAAAGTCTTTGTAAACCTTGCTAATTCCTTTTCACAATTGTAATTATAAAGTCTTTCTTACCCTTATCTGAAAGTATATCTTGCAGGAAAGAACATTTTTTATATCAGTCAAAATTTTTTATAGTTTCTTAAATCTGAAAGAAGTGAAAATTTGGCTCTTTTTTTTTTCACCATGCCTCTGCCTGGTTTCATATTTATAAGTACAAATCAAAGGAGTTAGACCTTTTTTTTTTTAATTAGAGAAATGAATGGACAACAAAAGCAACTTATAAAAATCTTTGGTAAAAATACACATATGGGCATATGTATTTGCACAGGAAAAATCTGTAAATTTCAAATGTTAAAGCTGATTTTTCCCCTCCTTGATGTTGAGATTTCATAGGATCTTTATTTCTGGTCATTTTATTTTCTAATTTTCCTACAATTAATATGCATTTTGGTCAGAAGACAAAAGATTTATTTTCCTTCTCCTTTTTCTTTTCTTGCAGGGCTGGATGGAATCCAAAGCCTTGTGTACACATGTGCTTTACCACTGAGTTACATTAAAAAAAAATGTTTAGCTACATGTTATAAAGAATCAAATTTAGAGTGGAGGGGAGGACCAAAGCAAAGGACAGAATAATTACAAATGAAAGACTCTCCAGGTTGGACAGGATGTGGAAGCAAGTATCCACATACTGGAGTACTGGAGTGAGTTTTTTGGTGTGTTTTATTTATTTATTTATTTATTTGGTTGCATGGTACAAATAGAAGTTAAATTTCTAATAAAAATAAATAATAATAATAAAATAACAAAAATTAAAAATAATTTTGCAGTTGCTCTAAAAACTAAATCTGCCCCACCTTGTTTCTAAAGATCCTTCTCTAAGGATAAAGCAATTATGCACTGGGTAGGAAGGGCCACTGCAAACTAAAGAGAGAACAGAAAAGTCTCTGCCCATACAAGTACTATTTTTATCTCTTTTCTGAATTAAATTTGAAGCCTAGACTACTCTAATTTGTTTATTCTCTTTCTTTTAGCAAGTACATAAGACTTTTTTCTTCTCTGTTGATTACATCACAAGACAAAAGAGAAGTCAGCCCTGATCTGGGAGCTGGTAATGTAGTTGAATAAACAAGGTACAAACAGGAAAACTAGAAATATGGGGGTGGTACGCATGAATGCATCAGACTATCTCATATAGCAAACACAGGGCTGGTGACATTGGTGGGGTTGTGGTTTGGCTCAGCACAGTATCAAACCACAGAGCCATGGAAATGTCATTCTGTGCTGATTAACAAAGTGGCCATCCAGTATTGAAAATGTGGTTAGTACAATTAGGAAGTGAAATTTACCTTCAATTTTAATTTAGATAGCTTCATGTGGCTGATGCCTGTTGTACTGAACAGTGTGGTCCTAGTTCTAGAAGGTGTCAATAGTTAAATAAGGCTTGTCCTGTTACAAGAAAGGGAAGGTCCGAAAGCTGAAAATTGGTATTCCAGAAGAAAAGGCATGACTCAGCGGTACTCACTCCCGGGGTCACTGACTGCTGGTGCCTGGGGAGGAACTGTGCTGGGTTATCACACTGGGCAGACCTTGCACTTGAAGCTGTTGATAAGGAGGAGTCTTGGATTATTTCTGCTCAGTGGACAATAAAAGCCCTTTCCTTGTGCCACGCATTATGTTGAATGCCTTACATACATTATTTAATCACTGCAAGAACTTTTGAGGGGATGGGGAGACTAGGTTGACTTGAGTTTATGGGGGAGATTCTTGGAGGAAAGGGAGGAATAGACTTGCCAGAGCAGTTTGAGAGTGAAAGGACCAAGGAAGAGAAAAACAGCTTGAGGAAAGTTGAGTGAAGGGACCCCTACACCTAGGGTCAGACTCTTTCAGCCTGAAAGGGGGAAGAACCTAGTACCAGAGGAAGAGTGTGCGAGAGGGAGGAGTGAGCAGGAATGAAATGCAGTAGGGCCCCAGGGTGGTCCCGGGAAAGGGGAATCCTGTTCCTTTAGGTATATGAGAACTTTCACAAAACTGATGGTAGAATTTTTTTTTTTTTCAAAGAGTGGCAAGGTTGTAGGAACTGATGATTTTTTCTCTCAGTGAAGCAGGAATAAGGGCCACCTGCCAAGAGAGAAGGGAGAAAACAAAATGGGACACACGGGGAGGAGAAAGATCTAAAACAGCGCCAGTCGGGCTTGTCCTAATAATAACCACCACCTTCACCCTGTGACTCCCACCTACGGTCACGTGACCGCCTGATTCAGTCCAAGAATCCCATGAACAATTCATCAAATTATTTCCAAATCATAGAAAAGGAAATTAAGGCTCAACAAGTTTACCACCTTGGTTAAAAAAAAAAAAAAAGTCACCGCCGTGACACCAGCACCGTAGTAGAAAGGGATCTGCCTTCACACTGTAGTTGAAGCCGTACAGACAAGGCACGAAGAGGAAAGGTGGCACTGCGCAGGCAAGAGCACACCCGGCGGCGGGGGGCACGAGGGGGGGGAGAGGTACGAGGGCTCCGCCAACGGGAGCTGGGAGCTAAGGGACGTTCAGGAGTCCTCCTGCCCCAGGCACCGGCGGGTGCAGGGGCTCTGAGAACTGGGCCAGCCCGGCGGTCCCGGGAGTCCAGGACTCTGCGCGCTCGAGCTGCGTGTACCGGGGCTCGGGCCGGGCTAGCGACACAAACGCCGGGCAAGGCCTGGGCGGTCCGGCCCGCGGTCACCTGGCAGGAGGGCCTCTAGGACGCAGGCTGGGGAGGGCGGCCGAGTGCCGTGTCGCCAGCGCCCGGAAGGCCAGCAGCGGCCCTGCTCACCGTGCCGCTGACCGCCGGCCCGGGACCCCGGCCTGAGACCGCGGGCAGCCGGGCTCGGTTTTCCACCTTGCGTTGCTGGTCCTTCTATCAAAACCCCGGAACGTCGGACCCTCTTCCCTCCAGAGCGCCGAGGAGACGAGAGGCACTGCGGATAGAGCGAAGCTACAGAAGCAGCCCTCTGGACGCCTGCCGTGAGGCCCGAGGGGCTTCCCCAAGACGACCGGCTGTCCGGGGCTCTCCCGTCACCCCTCCAACAGCGAGCCCGTTGGTTCGGCCCTCGACCCGAATTGGCTGGGGGCTCACGCCGCGGCCGGCGATTGGAGGACACTGGCTTCCGGCCTCTCCCACGCCTATTGGCTCGTCCCCCGGAGCCCTGGGGCCCCGCCCTTGTTTACGCCGCGCGCAGCCGCCTCGCCCTCCTTGCGCGGGCTTTGAGGCGGTACCCCCGGCGGCTGGACCAATCGCGGCTCGCGCGCCTCCGCGCCACCCCGCACGCCCGCGTGGTACGGCCCGCGCTCCCCCGCGGCGTGGTACCGCCCTCCGCCCCTCCCCCTCAGGTCGCGGGCCTGGTGCCGCCGGGAGGACCGGGTCGGCGGCGGCTCCCGGAAAACAAAACAATCTCGGCGCCGCGGGGCTGAGCGCGGCGAGCTGGGCCGGGACGCGGCGAAGGGCTGGGCGCCATGGGGCGGGCGCGCGCGGGGCTGCCCCGGCGCCGTGGCTAGCGCGCCGCCTCCTCGCCGGGCCTCCGGGACGCGCGCGGGAGCCTCGCGGCCGGCCGCCGCGGACGCCGCCCGGCATGGAGCAGTGCGTGACGGTGGAGCGCGAGCTGGAGAAGGTGCTGCTCAAGTTCTCGGGCTACGCGCAGCTGTGCGAGCGCGGCCTGGAGGAGCTCATCGACTACGCTGGCGGCCTCAAGCGCGAGATCCTGCAGAGCCACGGTAAGGCCCGCGCCCGCTTCCCCGTCCGCGCTCCGCCGCGGGGCGGCCCAGTGACTTCGGGCCTCCGCCGTCCGGCCTCCCGAGGCCCCGACCTGCCTCCCGCGGCCCGCGGCCTTGTGCGGGTCGCGGCCTTCGGTTGACCTCGGCCTCCCGAGGTCCCGGGCCGGCCTCCCTCCCGGGCTTTCTGTTGGAAGCCAGCTTCGTCCCCAGCTGGTGCTCAGCACGGCCTCCGGCAACTTAGCGACTGCGGGCGGAGCCGCTTTTCTGACTCGTCGCTGGCCGGTCCCTAGCAGACCGCTGAGGCGACCCGCGTCCGCATCCCCGGAGCAGCCTCCGGGGGAGCGAGGAGCGAATTGCAGCAGGAACTGCGGTCACTCGCTTTATCCGGCCCAGTCCGTACCTGTTTTCCTTCCAGAAGTCGGGTTTTCCGTTGGAGGCATTTTGCCAAGATCGCTTCGCTGTCGCCTTGCGCCCCAGGACAGCCTTGCCGAGTTGACTTGGGGAGCGTTTGTTGGGGCTTTACAGTAATGAGGAGGCCTGGCTCCTGGTCGGTGTAGCCCTGGAGATGACCCCTTCCAAGCGGCAGTGCAGGACTTTCGTCTGGGGGTTTCTCAGGAGCCCGAGCCCTTCCCCGCCTGTGGGCTCCTGCAACTTTAAGCACAGAAGCCACTTGTGAACTTTGAGAAAGAGCTTGGGCTGAAATGCTAACGCCGCAAGACCACCGAGGCAGAACACGGTGCTCGCCCATGGGCAAGCCGACTGGGCTCTGTCAGTGGAAGAAAGGCGGCTGCGTTGGTGTTGAACCTGGCACAGATAGGAAGTAGGGCGTGGGAGGGAAGACGGGTGCGTTTGGTTTGGGACACAAGAGAGGGAGGAGAGGATTTAATGAGGATTGTCAGTGGATAGACAAAGGTCTAGGGCTGCTTTTCCATGTCATTTCTAAGGGGACAACAGGTGATCACTTAAGATGCCTGGAGCCACAGCCTGGAACCTGCCCCTGGAGGGTGCAAGGCCAAGGCAGAGAGCTCAGAAATGGAAAGGGGCCAGGCTAAGGAGAAGAGAGGTTGCTTTGCTGTCATTGGCTGTTTGGGAGCCGGTGACCCTTGCAGTTTTGTGGAGTTCTTAGAACCAGCTGGATACCTGGGGGTTAAGAAGAAGTTATAGTGGTGGGGGAAAGGAAGCTCAAGGCTGCTTCAGTTCAGTCCTTGAAGCCCCCTCCCCTGGAAATCACCTCTTGTGGAAGGTTCAAAGGAAGGCGCCAGTGATGGAAAAGAATGAATGAAGGGCCCAGATTTGGAGAAGTGGAGGGAATATTTTCTCTTTCCAGACCAGATTAGCAGTGCAGGGTTAGGATAGGCCGGATTTAAGAGGGAAAGGATGGAAAGTAAAGAACCTTCCATGAGAGAGGAGATGTTGCAGAGGGGATGTGATTATGAGATTTGTTTTAGGGAATTGAGGGCCAGTACCAGCAGGTAAAATTACTGAGGCAGGAATTTGTTTTAGACCTCTCTACTTGGAATAAAAAGTTAATTTCAGAAATTCATTCCAGAGATAAAGATGTCTGGAGATGAAGTAAGTCTTTACATGTTTAATTTGAAGTACCTAAAATTGGACTGTCTGACATTTAAAAACTGAGCCTGCGGCTCCTGTCCTCTATGCAGTTCTTCATACACTGTGAGTCTGCTTTCCTTGTGACAGTCCTTGGTCTTGTTCTCTGCCCCAGGACCACTGTTCGTCTGTACCGTCTAGTTTAGCTGTTAAGCATCAACTTTATTGTGCGTGCTTGGTTTCGTGACACACTGCTCTGGGTCTTTAATGACCTCTCTGGGTCTCAGCGCCCATCAGGGAACCTACCATTTTGTTCTGAAAGGTCAGAACTTGAACGTCAGTTGTGTTCTTTCACTTGGCAGATTTACCAGCCATTATTTTACTCCCCAAACTTTTTTTGTTTCCAGGGTATACCGCCTCTAGGAAAAAAGCTGGTTCTGCCTGGGCCTTTTTTTTTCCCTCTGATCTTTTGATCAGCTGCTGTGTCCTGGGTGCTGAGGTCACTCTGAGGCAGCCTTAGGCTTCAGTGGTCCACTTTAGTTTTTCAGGGACAGAAAGAAATAATCATACTGGGGATTGAAGACTGGGACACTTTACCACTGAGCTATACCCTCAACCCTTTTAAGCAGGTTTTTTTTTTTTTTATGTTGAGACAGGGTCTCACTAAGTTGCCCAGACTGGCCTTGAACTCATCATCCTCCTTCCTCAGCCTCCTGAGGCCCTGGAGTGATGACAGGTGTGTGTAACTACACCTGGCCGGCCTAGACTTTTAAGAAGAACCAGCCTGAGAGTCTTAGCCCTTATCTCCTAGATTTCTTAATCCTCTGAAAATTGATAGCAGGGGCATGAACCTTGGGCACTGCTGACCTTGGGCACTACCTAGGTCAGCACTCCCTGAACGTTAAGTGACTCCAAATGTCACCATTCCCTCCTTTTGTTTTTGTTTTTGTCTTGACTTTATATTGTTTATTTTAGAGGATTAAGACTTTTAAAGGTGTGGGACAACAAAATTTTCCTCCTTCCTAGCCTTCTTATTGATGCCTGATTTCTTTTGACTTTTTAAAATTTTTCCTTAAAAAACTGTTCTGGATTGAATTGTGGAGTAAAGCCATCTGAAGTCTGAGTTTTCATTTGGGCACTCTTAGAATCATGCTCCCAAATAGATTTTTTTGTTTATCTTCATCAGAACTGCTTTCCATTTTGCTTTTTATTGAATTCTCTCCATTTTGTGAAAGTGGAGTTGTTTTCAGTAACTCAGAGCTAAATGCAGTGTATGTAATATTTATAAACTAAGATATTTTAGTTGTTTTCTGCCTCCAGTATAGTCATGAAAACGTTAAGCCAGGTGTAGGGTATTTCTGGGGAATCTAGGTGAAGTTGTCAGGCTTTTTACACTGAGTCCTCGTCATGGTCCTGGGTGTCAACAGCACCTACTCGTGCTGGGTCCCGCTGCTGTACAGCTTGCTTTCCAGTGTGCTGGGCTCCTTCCAGGGCCTGGCCCTTGTCGGCCTGCAATCCCGTGGTCTGGGCTCACAATCTTGTGTCAGTGTAGTTGTTCGAGGCCTTCCCCAACCACCGAATTGTGAAAATTAGGACAGGTAGAAAATTAAAAGAGTAAATATCCAGTAGCAGTTAGGGAGAGAAAGCTGTCCATCCTGAGAACTTCTTCGTAGAATCAAGGGGCCAGAATAGGGAGTGAGTCTTGTCACACAGTTGAACACCTGCTGTCTTAAGCCTTGTGGTCAGCAGGGAAGAAAATGGGACAAGCAGATGTCCACAATGCAGAACAACATGGAGAGTTACTTTTAAAAACCAAGGGACAACGGGAAGTGTATGATCTTCAGCTTTGTGGCACCCAGACACCCCCTTTTTAAAAAATACCTTTATTTTATTTATTTCTATGCGGTGCTGAGGATAGAACCCAGCACCTTGCATGTACTAGGTGAGGCTCTTCTACAGCTGAGCCTCGACCCAGCCCTGACATGTTCAGTGTCACGCGCTCCTGAATGACTCAGGATGTCCTTTTATAGGACTTCGTGGTACTGGTGTTGAGGTGTATTTCTTTGTCTCTTCGATATAGCTTAGGAGGCTTTTCTTTTACAAACTGACTCAAAAGTGTCAAGTTTGAATACAAGACAATGGGTTCCAGAGGTGTGTGGGGTGTTATTGAAAGAGGGGGGAAGCTTGGGGTGGGGGAGGGGAGGACCCTTCATTTGTGTCTTATTTGGAAATTGGTGTATGAGTGTGTGTCCATGCAAAGAATCCTTGGAGTTTTCTACTTGGTGATTACGTTGGCAGATGGACACAGCACTGTTTCCCATTCTTTTGGTGTTTGGTGTTGGTAGTCGCAGTCTCCAGTGCTGGCCAAGAGTGTGCAGCATATCATTTATTGTTTTTATGTTCATCTGGTAACTAGTTACTGAATGTCCTTGGCCCTGTCCTCCAGGGGCTGACAGAGACTTGAGGTTCTATAGAAAGGGGCGTGAGGACACCACCTGGGGCTTCTCACAACGGGTGTGGTCTGTTCATCAGCTCTGGGTTGGTTAGGCAGGTCTTGTGGGATGAGGAAGCTGGCCTTGCCTGCGGAGGTGGGGGTAGCCTTGACTCATCCCAAGTGTCTATCAGGTCAGACCTTGTTCCTGGAACCCAAATTGGCTCCAGGCAGAGGGATGGAGGCAGAGATGCCAAGTCTGTAACCCTGCTATTAGCCATGCTTAGAACCTTTGCAAGCCAAAGCAGAGTCTTAATGCCTGTCACAGTCCCCCAACCCATCTCTTGTCCATTCCAGTCTGGTTGTGCAGGCTTCGTGGCCAGTGATAATCAGTCTTTGAGTAATGGTTGCTTCAAACGAAAAGGGTCAGATGCTTAGGCTTTAAAGTAGAACTGTCCATGTCAGTTTTAAACAGAATACAAAAGGGAGCCCAAGTCTTAAGACACCCAACTCAGTAAGTCCTGTGGGGTGGGGGTTCTCGCTTCTTACGAGGCCCCTGGGTATGGACCACTAAAGAGCACACACTGAGATCAGAAAAGGGAGTTGTTCTCTTGTTTCTGTCTAGATAGAGGGCCCTGGTCTGCCTGGGTCCCTTCTGGAGGTGCTGGTCGGGGGCTCCTAGGGCTGGTGTAGGTGCATGTCCTTAGTCACATTTAGAATGGCCACGGTCTTTCCCTTCTAACTGTCCATGCGTGACTGCTGTGGGTTGGCTTTTCTTCTACCTCCTATTAGTAAATCTTTGGTCCTGCTACCCGGCTGGCTGTTAAGGACCACATGGACCAAGACCTCTGTACTGGCCAACAGCTAGCCCACTCCTTCCTGCTGATGAGGCCAGCCGGGACTCCTCAGGGGTTGCTTTCGGAGACTTGGAGGAGCCTCTGCTCCTGCAGCCCTGTCCTCTACTAGGGATGGCCAGGGCCTTGTGGACCACTGGTGGCTTCTTTGGGAAGCAGCAGGGACATTGTCCTGTTCAGTGACCCTCCGCTTCACAGATTGGGCACTGGTTGGCTTCTGTTCTCTGGGGTCCTTGTATTCCCCCGTATCAGTAGACCAGGTGTCATGGCTCTAAGGATCTTCTCGTGGAGGTGTGACCTATTGGCCATGCAGTTCACCTTGTAGAGGAGCTGAGCTGGAGGTTCTGTTGGGTTTGCAGTGTTGTGCCTGCGTGCCTGTGACCTGGCTCCCCATGCTCAGCACACGGACTGCTCTGCACCCTCCCTGCCTGCCGCGTCTCTGGGTCAGCCCCTGCTGGACACTCTCCCATAAGAAGAACCATGCTGTACGGGGCATTTAGTGTCCGGCTTATCTCGCTTACCTTAATGGCACACTTCCCCCCGTGTTTCCTACCACTGGCCGCTGTCTGTCCCACACTTGCTGCATGGCCATCCTGTGCGGTTGCTGGTTTGCGTGCAGGGCCCTGGCCACCCGTGCATGAGCCCACTGTTTTCAGTCCCCCAGCCTGAGGGAAGTGGAGCCAGGTGGTGACCCTGGCTTTCTGAGGAGGAGCCTGCCTGCTGTCTCATTTCCTTGGCGACGCCTGGTGTCTTCTCAGTTAAGCCATCCTGTGGGTGTGGAGGAGTACCTGTTTGATTTGCCTAATGATTACTATCTTCAAGCACCTGTTCACATGCTTATTGGTCATTTATGTGTCTAATTTGGAAAAATGTCTATTCAGATCTTTTGCCCATTTTTAAATTGAATTGATGGTCACATTATGTCAGGTTTTAAGAGGTTTTTACTTTATTCTGGATACGTTAACGTGATTTACAGGTATCTTTTCTCATTCTGTGAGTTATCTTTTCACTTAAGTGTGAAACACAAAATATTTATTTTTTGTTTATTTCTTACATACATGGCAATAGTGGAATGCATTACATTCATAGTTAACCGTTCACAGCATGATTTTTCGTAACTCTATATAAAGTATATACACACAGACACACACACACACACACATATATACATACACAGCAGGAGTTCACAGGGTGAGGTTCATGGAGAGGCTCAGCTCAGTGTGGCCCGCTTAGACACAGCAGAAGTGAGCAGCCGAGGCAGAGCGGCAGGTCCCTTCTGCTCTGGAGGATGCACCGAGCACCTTTTAGACACGTTTTGAGATTTTCCTGAGGTCCCAGGTCTTCCTTAGCCAAGTTATGTGACGACAGGTTGGAAGTGCCTGATACAGACTGTCCCTGATGTGCCCTGGAGCTCCCGGCTTGTGTGTCCACCTAATCCTCTGGGCCCTGTGGACTTTCTAGCTGTTAGTCCTTCTATCCTTCCTCATTGCAGACAACACTGTCTTGGCTAAAGATCTTGGGGCCATCTGAGAGCCCCCGACCCTCATAGTCAGTGGGAAACCCTCTGCCAGGTGCTGCAGGTCCCTGAGTTCTACCACGCCTTGTCTCACTGATCTGTTCCTGTGTCCAACACGATGACCGTTCTGGACCTTCACCTCAGCTTTTGTACTTCTCTGCCCAGAACCTTGCAGTGGATCTCCCTTTGGCTTAAAATTAAAGTCAGTCTTTTTTAACTTTTTAAAATTCTTTTTAGTTACACATGACAGTCATAACAGTAGAATGTTTTTGACATATCAAACATACATGGAGTATAACTTCCCATTTTTCATTGTGGTTGTACATGATGTGGAGTTAACTGGTTGTGTTTTCATATAAGCACATAGGAGGGTGATGTTCCATTCGTTCTACTATCTTTCCTATTCTCATCCCCTCCCTTCCCTTCATGTCCTTTGTCTAATCCATTGAACTATCCCCTCCCCCACCAATGGTGTGTTAGCTTCTGCATATCAGAGACAACATTCAGCCTTTGGTTTTGGAGGATTGGCTTATTTCACTTAGCATGATATTCTCCAGTTCCACCCATATACTGGCAAATGCCATAATCTCATTCTTCTTTATGGCTGAGTAATACTCCATTGTGTATACACACCACATTTTCTTCATCCGTTCACCTGTTGACCCCATGGTTTCTCCAGCCACCTCTCTGTTTTCCTTTGCCAAACATTTACTCGAGACACTCTGGTGTCTTTGTTGTTCTTCAGCTGGTCAGGGTTTATTTCTGCCCCTCGTCCTGGGATGCTCTTCCCCAGGGTTGCCATGTGGCACATTCTTCTGCTTCTCCTAAGTCTTCACTCAGAGGTCATTGTCTCAGTGGGGCCTGCTGTCCATTTCCCCTGTTTTTGCAATTTTGAATTCACACCCTCCCTCTCCCACTCTGGCCCCTCCACTACATGTGTCATTTTTCAATCACGCGTGGTTTGCTTGTCGCGCTGTTTGGTAAGTTCTAGGGCATGGCTATCTGGTTATTTAGTGGGTGTGCACAGTGCATGTTTGTGAAATGAAGAGACTCCAGGGCTCTGTGTTCTTGGACTTGCTCTTTTTCAGATTCTCAGGCCCTACCTGGTGAGTCAGAAACTTGGGGAGTGGGACAGCTGCTTTAACTAGGTCGCTGGGTGACTCTGATGTAAACCAAGTTCAGAACCATGGGGTGGAATGTGGGTCGAGGTCCAGAACCAGGCCTGGTGCTCTCTGGGGATGTGAGATATGGCAGAGTGATGGTCAGACAGGATTGGTTTGCTCTGTCTCCATCTTCCTCCCCTTTTCCTGCCGGAGGAACCACCTGGAGGCAGGGAGCACAGGGCAAGAGGCCATGGCTTTAGTAAGCTTCAGAGACGTGTCGGGGTCCAGAGAGCCAGTGGGAGGACTTGGGGCCAGGTGTAGAGGCACCATGGCTCAGCTCCATCACAGTAGGAGGCTACTGAGCAGAACTGGCAGAGGGGCCAGGAGGGTGCCTCCGGGGTCCTCTCCCAGTGCACCCACTCAGGACATGCCGAACTCCTGCAAGGGACTCCGGACCAGCACCAGGTGTTACCTGCAAGGGAAGCTCCCGGCAAGCTTAGTGCCAGGGTTCATTGAGGGAGGGGCGTGCATTTGTATGGAATAAAAAGCATTTAAACTAAATCATCTAAGAAATTCAGTGACAACCAAAAGGGTTTGTTTTTTTTTTTTTTTTTTTTGTATTGGGATTGAATCCAGGGGCACTCAACCACTGAGCCATATCTCCAGCCCCCTTTTTATATTTTATTTAGAGACACAGTCTTGCTGAGTTGCTTAGGACCTTGCTGAGGTCCTTTGAACTTGCAATTCTCCTGCCTCAGCCTTCTGAGCAGCTAGGATTGTAGGCCTGCCTGACCACAGCCAGCCAAAACCAAAAGGTTTCCAGGATGCCTTGAACATTTTCACTGAGTTGAATAAATAAATTTATTCACTTAGACATAATTTTCTGAAAAATAATACTGCCTTGGTGGTGGTGTTCGGTTTGTGTTGACATTTATCAAAGAAGTGGTTTATTTCATATTAAAATTTTCTTATTCCCAGAGAGTGCTTTCGTGGTGTTTACTTGAAACACTAACATCTGTGAATGTGTCCCTCTGCCTCGAAGCAGATCCCGACTTCACTTTATCTTCCTCCACCTCTGCTGTTCCCAGGGTCTCCTGGAAACCTGCCCTCTATGGGTCTGCTTTGGGGAGTAATCTGCCTTTCTTGTTTTACAGGCCAAGATGCTGAATTATCAGGGACACTGTCACTTGTTTTGACTCAGTGCTGTAAAAGAATAAAGGATACTGTTCAAAAACTGGCCTCAGACCACAAAGACATCCACAGCAGTGTTTCTCGGGTTGGAAAAGCCATCGATAAGGTATGGTACCGAGGGGCACCGGTGCTCTTCAGCTTTCTCTGTTGGTACTTGCTACTGTAAGCTTTCCCAGATTGTTTTATGTGATTCCTCTGTCTTTGCTTTTGGTAACTTTGCTGAACTGGTTTTACTGTTGTTCTTACTGAAGGGCCTTGTTGCTGCTATTTTATTTATTTATTTATTTATTTTAGTTGTAGATGGGCACAGACCTTTATTTATTTTTATGTGGTGCTAAGGATGGAACCCAGTGCCTCACACAGGCTAGGTGAGCTCTCTACACTGAGCCCCAGCCCCAGTCCCTGTTGCTGTTATTTTCAAAATGAAAATAAAATCAAAACAAACCCCCTCTCCTTTTATGGCTCTGTTGTTTTACCATTTGCCTGTTGGGCAGGGCCTGGATACCAAGGCTGCCTTGTTCTGAGCACCTTAGCCCAGGGGCTGGGAGGAGCCTCCTGTGGCCAGGGTGCCTGCTCCAGCTTCATCTGCTGTGGGTGATGAGCTATGTCCTCAGGTCTGTCCTTCCTAGTGCTCCTGACCCTGTGTTCCTGTGGGCATGCTGGTTGCTTTTCTTTAGTGTTGCCTTTTTTGGGGGGTCCTGAGGATTAGACCCAGGGGTGCTTTACCACTGAGCTGTGTTCCAGCCCTGATTTTTTTCTGAGACAGGGTTGCTAGCATTCCTGGTGCCTTGATAAGTTGTTGAGGCTGGCCTTGAATTTGCAGTCCTCCTGCCTCTATCCCCCGGTGGTGGGGTAACAGGCGTGGCCCCCAGGCTGGCTCAGTGTTGCCTTCAGGGAACAGAGGGAGCTGGCTGTCAGCCAGCAGGACTCTTTTTGTTGGGTGGCTTTCTCTGAGGGGCATCTTGAGTTCGCAGTCTGCACTGAGGCGGGGCTCAGAAGCTGCTGGTGTTCTCAGCACTAGACCAGTCTTCCCTGGTGTTCCCCGTCATGATGGGGCCTCAGGAGGGTCGTCCAGGGTCACCACCTGGTTCCCATGACCACTTCAGCCACTGGGAGAGCGCAACAGGTCATGGGTCTTCCTGTTCACATAGCATGTTGGGAAGGGCAGGAAGAATGGGGGGAGGCGTTCTTCCTAGCAGAGGTATGGTATCTGCTGAGCTGTAGAGTCGCCCAGTCTGTATGTGCACCAGTGAGAACTGTGACGCAGAACTGGGCACTGCGGATCTAGAGACTGGTGTCCAGCTGGGGGCCAGCTGTTGGAGTGACTGCCTGCAGCAGTACTGAAAGGCTGGGTTGAGATGTCTCAGAGCTGTTTTTAACCCGGAGGGTTGGAGGGGTATGATGAGGCTGTGCATGCCTGAGCTCAGGGACTTGCTTTGGCCGTGCCTACAGAGGCATCCCTGGCCTGTCAGAGTACTCTCACCATGGCCATTGTGCGGTAAGGGCTTGGGCTCAGCAGGTTCCAGACACATGGCTGGGTCAGTGATGGCAGTCACTGGCAAGGGCTGGGAAGCCAGTGAGTATCCTCTGCAGCCTTTTTGAGGTTGTGAGGCCTGTTTGATAACTCCTAGGTGGTGCACACAGCTTTGGCATCAGACCTGCCTGGACTGTGGCGTTGGAATTCTTCGGTTGGTACCTGAAGTGTCTGTTGGTGTGTTAGCATAAGGCTTATGGGAATGAAAGTAAGCCATGTGAGGGTTGGTCTTAAATCATTTGTAGGTCTTAAATCATTTCCAGGGCATTAACTCCTGATGGTGTTAAGAAGCTTCAGATTTTGGTGGCTGATAGTGACCAAGGCATGCTAGTGATTCTGATGGCTCAAAGCACAGAGAAAACCCTAGGAGGTTCCTGGGGACATCTGCATGACCACCAGGCTGGCTGCTGGACAGCAGAACCAGAAGGCGCCCTTATGGTCAGAAGAGCTGATCCTTCCAAGTAGCCAATCAGAGCTGGTGTCTGGAAAAGAGGCCCCTGGTTCTGGAATCAGTGGGGATGATCTCAGGAGCCACACCTGATGTGTGTGGACTTCCAACCCCCAGGACTGGGAATGGCCAGGCAAGTGAGGCTCCAGGTGTGATTCCAGCCTCGGGTGGGGGACCTGTCCTGTCCATTGCCTAGTTCAGGTGTTGTCCTGTTGAAATGATCGGAGCCCGGTTGTTCTTACCTGCTTGCACTGGTGCCTCTCTGAGCTGTCTTCTGGTCTGTACGACATCCATGAGGTTGTTGGTAGGCAAAGCGTTTAGATGTGCCTGGTGACATTTAGATGTGCCTGGTGACAAGAACGGAAGTCCCTCTCTGCGCACCAGGGGACACATTTGAAGTGGTCGACTGCGTTCCCATTTTTTGAGGGGCGGGTGTTTGAGGCAGTGTTCCTGATTACATAATCTGCTCTTCCTCCTTTGAGAACTTTTTTTTGCATGTACTTGGAAATTATAAGGACTTTTTCAAGTAGCTGTAATTCTTTTACAGTTCTTTCAGACTTGCTCCATGTTCCTCTAAATGCAACTTCTAGGTGGCCTGGGTTCTTCTCATCTATCACACATCACCTTTTTTCCTTTAATGTCTGTAGTTGCAGATGGACACAGTACCTTCAATATGTGTTCTTATGCGGTGCTGAGGGTGGAACCCAGTGCCTCACGGTGCCCCAGCCCGCCTGGAACTCTGGATTTAGCGGGTGCTCTCAGGGGCGCTGGAGGGTGGTTCAGACGCACAAAGGGGGGCCTGCTCCTCCTTTCAGGGCGCTCTTCCCTGTGTTCTTGATCCTGTCTGGCTTGGCTGAGGGGGGAGTTGTCTCCCTCCTGAAGCTTCTGCATGCAGGGGGAATTCTGTGTAGGCCTTGTCATGGGAGACTCCCCGGGCTCTCGCTCAAGCCTGTTAGTTTGTGCAGCTGGACAGCTGTTGTGAAGGCCGGGTGGACCCTGAATTGGTGATGAGCCAAAGCCATGTGGCCCGAGGCTGGTGGCAGACTGGTCCAGGACCTGAAGACAGGCCAGAGTGCCGTCCAGCAGCTTAGGAGGGCCCCGCCCTCTCCAGATGACAGGCGGGAGGCCGGGGCTCTCCCTTGAGCAAGCTGGCCTTTGTTTCTTAAAGCATATTGATAGTAACCAGTCTAAAGAGAAAATCACACTGTTAAACTCTGCCAGTGGCCAGGAAGTCAGGAAGAATTTCTAGATTTGAAGAGTAGGGACCTGTGACAGCTTAGAGGAGAGAAAGCGTGGCCCTTGAGAAGGGCTTGGAGCAGCTGTGCATGAGGTGTGCAGGAGCGTGGGGGTGTAAGGGAGGCCCAGGCTGTGGGTCACCTCCGTGCCCACCCCAGCCTCCCTGCTCAGGCCGTGGGCTGGAGTGGTGGTCTCGCCTTCTCTGGACTGGCTTCCAAGGCCAGCCTCCCGCCAGAAGCTGCTGTGGTCATGTGGTCTCTGGGATAGGGCTCTTCTCTGCCTGAGCAGGCTGCTGGGGGAAGGAACTGGGTATTAATTTTTTGACATGCTAAATGGTAATTTTTTCCTTTAATATTTTAAGGCTTCTTGGGTATTTAAGTTCTCTAGTTCTTCTCCAAATGTAAGCAAAAAAGAAGTCTGTGGTGTTAGCCAAGACATTTTATAGGTTTTAGGTTATCATGAACCTAAAAAATTGTGGGGCTGGGGTTGTGGCTCAGCACTAGGGCTCTCGCCTAGCACATGCAAGGCCCTGGGTTCAACCCTCAGCACCACATAAAAATAAACAAGTAAAGGTATTGTGTCCAACTACAACTAAAAAATAAATAAAAAATTTTTCGAAGAGTTCTGCTTTAACATGTTGACTGTTTCATATGCCCATAGTATGAGCATTATTATAAATAAAGAATATCAGCCCTTGGATTCCACAACAATATGTTGGACTGTTTTTAACTGCCTTTCCTGTTTGTAGATAATCTAGAATTCTGTCCTGTTTAGGGCACTTAATCACTGTTTTAAATTTGTCACTGGCTTTTTATTTCCTAAGAAAAGCCAATAAAAATAGTTACTGCTGCAGACTTCCAGGTATGTATTTATGTGATAAAATAATAATACTAGGATGTCAAAGTGTCTAAAATCCGCGGTGTGGTGAAAAGCTAAAGCAGTGTGTCCATGTAGGGTTTCAGGCTGGCCTGGCTGTGTGCACTTGAGTGCTTTTCTCACACACCAGGCACTGGAGGACTCTGAGGGTGCATGGGAAGGAAGGGCTCTTGGGCCGTCTAGGGCCATCTAGGGCTTGTGGAGTGTCCGACTGGGAAAGGGGGGTGTCATTCAGAGCAGCAGTGGGGGTGACCTTCTTCAGGACTGAGAAGGGACAGAACAGTGTCTAAGCATGCACAGCTTGGCCTGATGGGGGCTGCTCCTACTAGGGGTAGGGACACCTCAGGCTGGGGGACGGCAGATGGTGGAAAGCCCAGCAGGTGTGGGTTTGATCCAACAGGAGACCAGAGGAAAAGAGAGTGAACTGTGAAAGTAGTTGAGGACTGGAAAGAAGGAGTGATCAGCGGCAGGGAGAAGGCGGCCATCACGCCCCAGGGTGGGCCGTGCTGCGCAGGCTGGACCAGGAACTGTCCATGGGTTGGTTCATTCCCCATGGTGCTGGTAGGCCATTCCCTCCTCAAATAGGGGAAACCAGGCTCAGGGGTGTGGAATAATATGCCAGGGGTGAGCTTGGGAGACGTGCTCACCCAGCTATCCCCTCTGAGCAGTGTGTTTTACTGGAGAATCAGCATGGCCAGGGCAGAGCCGCTCCTGTTGGAGGAGGGAATTATCAAAAAATGAAACTCCATGGTCTGAGCAGTTCTCTGCCGCTAGGTGGAGCAGCTAGCTTGTGGAGCATGTGCTGAGGGGTTGAGACTGCAGGGGCAGCCGTGTCCAGGGTGAGAGGCGTGTATTTAAGGTGTCTAGGGTGAGCAGTCTGGATGAGGAATGAAAGCTGCAGGGTACCAGTGTCTAGGGTGAGAGGCATGTGTTTAAGGTGACCGGTGAGCAGTCTGGAGCTGCCTTCGAGTAGGCGTGACTGGGTGTGAGGGGGTGGTGGCGTGTAGCTACA